GTTCCCAGTTGAAAGAACAATGGAAAACTCCAGGAAAGCCAATTTATGCAAAGGGAAAACCCCACCTGTCCCCTCCGTTTTTATGGTCCTTGGGAAGGGCGAGGACAGGAAGAGGAAGGACAGGTATGCACTGTGTTCACTAGAATGGGATATGAGATGGAACACGCTATTCACCTCTGAGCATAAACGATAATGATTCCATTACATTCTGAATTTCAGAGGAAGGCGTGAGCTCCACCCGGGCTATAAGGCAGATGAGTTTCCACTCCAGGCCTTAGATTTTCTGTACAAAAAGAGGTTTAATCTAGTCTCTACCTACGCCCTTGAAGTATTTCTCTGCTATCATTAGAGAAAATTAATAGACTTTAAAAGGTGGTCCTCTGTTTCAATTATCATACAATCTAAGATATTTGTAAATCTATTTCTGTCAACCAAAGGACAACTTGGAAGCTGCCAGAGAACATTACAAAGTGCACTTGGCTTGGCATCAACAGATCTGCATGTGATTTTGAGATTGTCATTGATTAACTTTGAGCAAGTGACTGCAAATTTGTTTGCCTTCTTATTTATAAAATGGAGATAATATATAGGAAGGCAATTTTGAAATCAAACACTTTAGGTGGTGGATTTGCTAGTTTTGAGAACTAATAAAATGACATGGGATTCAATTTGCTGATACAGTGAAGGGAAACAAAAATACATTTAACTCACCTGGGGAGTTAAAATCAGGTAAGGGGTTGTTGTTTCAACACTTAAAACAGTTTCTAAATCTTATGAAAAAAATTAAAATAACATCTCTGTACCCAACTCCAACTATATGAGACTCCTTTCTGTGAAGGAAAGCTTGATTTTTCCAAATTAGCATAATCACTGTGCATTTACATTGATTAGTTTAGTCCTCAATTTTTGTCAATTTGAGAGACTATCTTCTCATTTCCTTTCTTATTTCTTTAAAGTATTTTGGGCCCCAAGATGGGATTATGTGTCATTTGGGCTTTTAAAATATTTATTTGCTGCTCCTGAGGATTTATAAAATATACATAAAAGCTATAAGTAAACTCATTGTCCTAGATTCTGTCTGTCTAGAATAGTAGTAAAGAGATACCTTGATGCTACTGAATAGTTCAGGGTATAACACAGTAAATGCAAACCCACAATGACAAATAATTAATATACACTTCCTCAGAGGGAGGACAACCGACTCTCCCTCTGGGTCCACAAAACCTCTGAGCCAAGTTGAAGATGATAGCTGACACCGAGAACCTCCTGCAATTAATTTTCTGAGACAGACAATGACTCAGGGCCAGGAGGATTCACAGAAGTCCATGAAAGAAGAGCCATTCCCATAGTTCTACTGTTGCCCTAGAGATGGGGTGGAGCAGTCATCATGGCTGCAGCAATGGCAGGGAGAGCATGAGATGGTGGTAGGAGCAGGGAGAAGACACTCCCATGGATGCCACAGCATTTCATCCACATGGTGCCTCTGTGATCTGGGAGACCCTAATCAGAGATGGTTGGACAGGTGAATAATAGTTCATGCAATTTAGTTACCATGTGATTCTTTCTTTCAAATTAAGTGGCTCTTAATTGTAGCCAAATTTGTCCTCTAGGGAACACTTGGCAGTGATGGAAAATAAACATTTTAGGTGTCATGGCAGAGGTGATTTGTGCTACTGTTATCTAGTGGGCAGTGGCAAGGGGTGCTGCTACATCAAGCACCATAGAACAGCATCACGACAAAGAATCACCCACCCCAACTTCAGTGGCTGAGGAGTGAAACATTTTGAGCTAGAGGAAGGGTTCCTTTTTTTAAAAAAAAATATTTATTTTTTAATTATAGGTGGACACAATATTTTATTTTACGTGGTGCTGAGGATCAAACCCAGTGCCTCATGCATGCCAGGCGAGTGTTCTACCTCTGAACCACAACCACAGCCCAAGGAAGGTATTTTTAAGGGTGAGGTTTTGACCAATCCATCTAGTGGGTGGAGGATCTTAAAAAAAATAGAATACCTTTTTTGACCATCCTAGGTAGAAAAACTCCTATTATAAATATTTAACACAAAACCAACAAATGGTCAATTCAGACTATGTTTACTTAATGTTTTGAAAATGAGCAAGGAAAAATTATAGTGATTAGGATGTACTTTCTATGTTTCCAAACAGTGACCTTAAATGTTTTTTTTCAATTTTGGCTGCTTACCAGAATTACCTGTGGACATTTACAAGTATTAGTTGAAATTCCAACTCATGTATGTGTACACACACACACACACACACACACACACACACACACACACTTTTCTAAGTTTTATTTTTTAAAAAAAGTTGTTATTTAGATATAGATGACTGTAGGGTATATTTTAATATATTATACATACATGGGGCACAACCCATTACAATTTAGATCTCATTCTTGTG